CACCCCACACCTCCTGCCTTACCCTGATATTTCTCCCCACTTCAATGGCCAGGCCCAGGCAAACAGAACATTTGGGTGAGCTATAATTTAGGGTTAGAGGAGGGTGAAGCAAATCTATCCTTTTTATTGCAACCTTTCCTGACAAAACCTTTTTAAAATGCAGCTTTGTTAAATATCCCAAGATAGATTCATCCAACTGAGGTCACCCCGTGAGGTTCCTACAGGCTGGCCACTCATGGGCAACTGTGACCTATTTGCTATCTACAAATCACAGCAGAACATTCCTTGACTACCTATATCGTGAGGCAGGCCTGGGGACACCGAGGCTGCTGTTGACCTGATTACGTGACTATCTGCATGGTGGTCTCGGGATAACTCTGCCTGTGATAACATCTACTTTGCTGACGCAAATGTCTCTTGATGCCTTGTCACGATGTCCCTTTCCTTCTCCCTTGTAAAACTTTGTCCCCCATTCCTATCCTACCCGCCAGTCCCTATTCCTCACACTACTGTCACATGATCAGCTTTTACTATCCTGTATGATTTTAATAGATGGCACAAGAACTTCTGCTCAAGTAGCAGAGTCTTTCTTGCCTCGCAAAACTGCTCCATGACTGCTGTGTCCTTCGTCTTCCCGTGGCAAAGCGGCAACAAAGTTCCTGTCGCTACAAGCCCGTGAATAGGACTTCACCCAACCCACACATGCACTGGAAGCTGCTGCCGCCCGCCGTGCTCCTCTTCCCCCAAATCACCCGGCGGACAGGCCTGCTAATAGAGGGTGCTGCCTATGTGGGTTGTCCATGGGAAGTCCTGATCCTTACTCATCCTGCAGAGACTTGCGCCTGTCCTGACCCACTTGGGGTGCACCCTGCCCAGACACCCCTGCTTGCAGACGCATCTGCTGGTGAACATTTGCCCCAGCTGGGGGTGGCCCGCTGCCTCCCCAAACTCCCAATGGACTCTACTTTTAAGGCACTAGACCTCCTCCTCCCCTGTTCTCCTCTCCTTTTCTCAAGATCCTGTTTCTTTTTTATTGTCCTCCATTCTCTTGCTGTTATTGTCATTCATGGAGCTGTCTGCTGCAAAACAGACTTAGGTGTAGAATCCCTAATCCCCTGGAGAAAAAATGTTATATGGAAAAGGTACAAAGCCTAAAAATAAACTGTTATTCATATCCTGGAGAAAAGTTATCTTTAGACTGCTGCTCAAAATTGAAAAATATAAACAATTCAAATTTACTTAGAGTACTGGTAGGTGTTAGTCTTAGGGCTTCCGACATAAACAAGTGTGAACACCTCAGTGTTCTTACAACACGCTTCTTACTACACTGGTTTGGCTTAAAAAACTAAACTGAGCACTCACTTTATTTTATTTTTGGCATTTTTTGTTTTTAAAGTTTAAGAGAAACAAACATGATGCCACAGAGCAAACGAGAAAGTGTTTTTCTATTCTGTGAGCTGAAATGTTGCTTTTCTAACAGTGCCCTGGTCAGGAGCACAGGCTGGATTGGAATCAGAGGCTCGGGATTAGGCCCGGCTCCACGGGTGGGGCTTGATGCCTCATCCTGATTCCTTCCTCTCTCTATCGAAGGTTCCAGTCTGCAGCCAGACCAGCCGTGGGGTCACAGGGGCACTGCAAACTCTCAGAATGCCAGCCCCGCAGCATGAGAGAGCCAGTGCTTCCGCCCAGGCTCTTAATAAAGGAAAGGCCGCCATTCCTGTGGAAGTGTCTTTCCTTCTTTTTCCTCATGGTTAATTTCCCTTTCTACCCTCAATTTAAAAAGCTTTTAAGTAACTAGTGCATGCACAATTTGGAAGATACAAAGAAAGGAAAAGTAAGGTAAATCTCCTTTTTTTTTTTTTTTAAAGATTTATTTATTTATACAAGCACTGGGCACAGTCAGAAGCGCGGGAGGATGAGAGAATTCACCAGAGCCAGAGCGGGGAAGAGAACAGGCAGACTGACAAAATACACTGCTGAGGGCATCAGTGGGCGCGGCAGGAGAGGTCTGTCGTGCCACGTGGGACCCTCGCTGGCAGCTGGGGATCGAACCGGCGCTGCAGAGGCTGCAGGCAGCTCTGCAACCCAGGGCTCACCTGCTGCGCCACCAGGGGAGGCCCAAGGTAAATCTCCTTCTGCTCATGCTCCCCACTGCCCAGTCTTCCCAGAGAGACACCGCCATAACCAGTTTCCAAAGACACCCTGTGCACCTGTATATGCATCCATTTTAAATGTGCACCTGTGTATGCATCCATTTTAAATGTGACTCTGTATACACGTAGCTCATGGAACAGCCTCTCCCCAACACACAGGTGGCAGGTGCTACCCACACTTTCTTGTAGGGATTCTTGTTTTCTTCCCATGGTGGTGGAGATGGGTTGTCCAATTGAGGCACATTTAGAACTGACCTTTTCTCTTTTTTTCAATAACTGTTTATGTAACATTTTATATAACTAGTTATCTATTGGTGGTTGTTTAACCGGCTTCTGATCCCTTGTTAGTAATAAATACCTTTGTTATATATCATTGGCATGTGAGCAAGTGTGGCATAGGAGAGACAGTAGAAATTGGATAGTTGGGGGACTCCCCTGGTGGCGCAGCGGTTGAGCGCTGGGCTGCAGATCTGCCTGCAGCTGCTGCAGTGCCAGTTAGATCCCCGGCCACCAGCGGGGGTCTCACATGGTGCGACAGACCTCTCCTGCCGCACCCGCTGCTCCCCTCAGCAGTATATTTCGTCAGTCTGCTTGTTCTGTTCCCTGCTCTGGCTCTGGTGGATTCTCTCACCCTCCCACACTTCTGACTGTACCCAGTGCTTGTGTAGACAAATAAATAAATCTTTAAAAAAAAGAAATGGGATAGTTGGGTCAAAGGGTATATAAACTTAAAATTTGATAATATGCAGTTGTCCTCCACAGAAGCTGTATCACTTCATCCTTCCCCTCCCCTTGCAGGAGACATGCCTTTTCCCTTGCCAACAATGTTTAAATATAGTTTCAATATGCATTTCGCTTTTTAAGCCAGCGGTTGAGCTCTCTTCATGTTTCCAGCTTCTGAGACACCTGACTTTAGCCCCTGGGAACCACCCACAACCTCTCCTCCTCTTTTCCTTAGGAAGCTGGTCTTTCATTTATTTGTTTGTAAGAACTCTTTAAGAAATGAGCATTTTGTGACATGGGTTGCAAGTATTTTTCTTATTTTGCCAAGAAAAAAATGGCATATAATTATGTGACTGAATTTATCAATATCATTTCTGGTGACTCTGGGGGTCTGTGAGTTACTAAATAGGTCTTTTCCACTCCAAAATTATAAATAGTATTTTTTTTATGTTTTTTTGCAGTTTTTTCATTTAAATCTTTGAACTGTCAGGGATTTGCATGTAAGAGTGAGTGGTTACTTCTTCCAATATTTTCTGATTTGCAGCACATTTTCTTCCACATTTCTTATGATTTCCCCCTGGTTTTAGCCTTAAATAACATATCTAAATGCCAGCTTATGGTCTCATAAGTAGCATGTTCTCACTCAGGTTATGCAGGTCCCTGAAACTGCCACCAAGAACCTGAGCCTGTTGTTACACAGACCCCTTTCAGAAGAGACTGCCGCATGCATTGCTGATGTTAATCTTCACAACAACCAGGAGGTGGTAAGAGGCAGTGGTCAGTGCCAGGCACACAGAGGGGCAGGACAGGCAGTTTCCCACCAGTGAACTTGACCGCCGCAGAGCAGCTGGGAGAAGAGGCCCACTGACTTAGCAAGTGAAGCTCCACACTGCTTAGCACTCATGTGGCCATTACACATGCTGTGTTCCTCCCTCCTCCTCACTTCCACACATCATCCTCATCCACTAAGTCCTGTCACTTTTACCTCTTTAAATAATAACTTTCAAATGGTTCTGGTCTCACTGCCACTGCCCCAGTTCAGACCCTAGTTGCTCTTTGCTGGAAAGGCATGTTTCTGTCCAATGCCTTACCAAGCTATTCCTTACAGGGACACCCTCCTAAGACACTGCTGGCTTCATGGCTTCCTCCATCAAAAAAACCCCCACAGGATATATTGCAAACGTGTAGCATTGCTTATCAGTCTCAAATCTAGCTCTGGTTCCCTCTCCAGACTCATCTCCTACTTTCTTCGCCACAAGTTGCTCCTTGTCTTACTCCCTTGACCTAGGTCTTTCACCCAAAGCCTTTTTCCATGTTGGTGGCCAGTGAGGCTGTGAGCCCTGGGAGAGCAGAGACGCAGGAATAACGAGGGAAGGGAGAATCCTGAGTGTGTGCCCAAGGCACACCAGCTACACCATCACCTGTGCAGGCAGCTCCTACTTCTGAGATGCTCTCTTTACCAGGCCAAGCTCTGAATTTTTGCCCTCTCTCCAAGATGCATTTCAAGTGTCATTTTGATCCTTCATAATACTTCTCAGCTTTAACCTACCACAGAGACGGGTCATGTCAAATCACGCTGTCTCATATTACAACTTCTTTCCCTTCTAATCCCCTCCCTTAGATTTGGAACGCACTTCTGACACCTCCAGGCCCAGCGCATCAGGACCACCATCGGCCCGCAAACAGCAGACTTGCTCATCGGGGCTTCCGCAGGCCTCCTGTGCAAAATTCTATAAAAATGATCAAGGATGGCTTGGCCCGGGCCTCTGGGACCTTCATTTAACAATGTTCCTGGCAAAGAAGAGGCGCTCGAGAAACATCTGTTGCCTATGAAGTAACGGAAAAGTAAATAAAAGGCAGCAGGTTTCCTTTAGGGGCATCCTTGTGGGGTTGAACCGTTTCGACCCGCTCCCCCCGCCCGCAGCGCACTCCCCACCTGCCTCTCGGCGCCCCGCCCGCCCGCCCAGCCCCCAGCCCAGCCCAGCCCAGCCCAGCCCAGCCCAGCCCGGCCCTCCGCGTCCCCGGCCTCCGGCCTCCGCCTGGCGAGCCCACCGCCCGCCCCGGCCCTCCGCGTCCCCGCCTCCCGGGCCAGCCCACCTGCCGAGCCCACCGCCGCCCGCTCACCTGTAGGCCCAGGGCGCCACGCTGCGCAGGTTGGTGGGCGGCCGGAAGCGCCGGTCGGGCCTGCCCCCTGCCGGGCAGCTCGCGTTGCGCGCCTGCTCGCGCGGCCCGAGCTGCAGGGTGTGGTGGAAGGCGCCCAGCACGCCCGCCGCCAGCCGCCCGTACAGCTGCTCCAGGAGCTCCTCCGGCCGGTCCGCGCAGCCCCGCGGCCGCGGCGGCCGCCTGCCGGGCCTCAGGGCGTCGGCGCCGGGCGGCAGCGCCAGCAGGACGCCGGCCACGAGCACCCAGACCTGCGGGACAGGCCGCGCTCAGCGCCCGGGCGGAGGAGCCGCGCCCGCCCCGCGCCCCGCGCCCGCCCGCCGATGGGCGCCGACCACACGAGCCCCCGCGCGCCCTCGCCGCCCGTGCGCCGGCCCCGGGCGCCCCGGGGGCCCGCCCCGCGCCGGCCCGCGCACCCCCGGCCCCCGCCGCCGCCGCCGCCCCGAGGCGGGCCGCGCGCGGGGGGCGGGTGCGGGCTGCGCGTGTGCCTGTGCCTGCCCGGCTGCTGCGCCGCGGGCTGCGAGTGCCTGTGACCGCGGCGGCCCGACGCCCGGACGGCCTCGACGCCCGGGCCAGCGGGGTCCGCGGAGCCGCCCCGGACGCGCCCCGCCAGCCGCCCGCCCCCCGCCGCGTGGGCCGCCCTGGCGGGCCCCGGACGCCGCGGGGCCCCCGACTTTGGACCTGGCTCGGCTGCAGTAAGTTCCCTCGGGCAGCGGCGCCGCGACGCCGGCGCGCAGACGGCCCGGACGCGGCTCGAGGGCGCCGCCCGGGGTCTTGGGACCGCCCGGCTCCGCACCCCGGGCTTTCGCGAGTGGAGACCGTCGTGTCACTCACGGAAGGGACTCACCAGGGACCCCAGCGTCGTCTCCGAGAACATCCCGACGTGTGACGAGCCCACGGTACAGACGGGCCCGCGGCGTGGGCGCGGACCGCGCGGGCGTGGCCGGGGCCGAGGTCTGGACCCGCCGGCTGGGAGGAGGATGCGGAGCCCGGGGCCGAGCCCGCCGACTGGCGCCGCCTGATTGGCGGAGAAGGCCGGGAAGGGACTGGTCGCGAAGGCTCCGAGCTCACAAGTAGGGCCAACTTGGTGAAGTTGGGGGAGTCAGATTTTGGCGCAGGGGGATAAGAATTTTCTAGACTGTCCAAGAATAGAGCGCGGCACCTCGAAAAAGAAGCACCTCAAAACCTAGAACTATTCATTCTCTTCTGACATTGCTCCAAGAAATCGCTTAGAAATTTAAAGCAAATCTCTTTTTCACAAGGTGAGAGGAGGCGGGTCCACCTTTCCTCTACAGGCCCTTAGTGATTCTTCTGTGCCTCTCTATCAACTTTAAAATCCAAGTACTAAATATTTGCCCAGCTTGTATTTTTATGATTGTAAGTGGTCATCACTTGCTCTATTATAGTATTGGAGAGTTCCTACTCTATAATAACTAACTTCATGTAAAATAACTAAACCGTCATGTAAAATAAACCTGATACTTTGTAAATAAATTGAAGGGACTGTGCATAAATGAAGGAACTATATTGTATTTCAAGAACACAAAAAATTTTGATCATTTCAGTCCACGAATTAATAATGCTTCATGCTTTTTAAGCGGCAGGCTAATGAATATGTTCATTTTACAACTGTCACACTACAAAAAATAAAAATGAAAGATTCATTCCGGCTTAAAGGTTTTCAAAAATGCAGAAAATACGTAATTTATGACTCCCTAAATGGTTTGCAGCTTTAGTATTTAACTACCGTGTAAACCATTAGCTAAGCTGCATTTCATTTATTCAACACTTTCATATGCCTCCAGTATTCTGTTCCTAACAAGAGTTTAGGAATTTACTGTTAAGAATCCCACTGAAATCTCTAATTTAAGCCATTTACAGCTCTTGGTAAACATTTGTTTTGAGGTTATATAACATTTTCCTGACTAGTAGATTGTTCGTGTTCTTAGATTTTTTTCCCCCTGGTATAGTGGGAGTAAAGATATCAATACTCAAATACTGCTTGTTTTTTATTTGATTGAAAAAATCGTGGGAGTCCTGTAGGCGAGAGACGATCAGAACAACAGTTTCATAAGAATACTCAGTTTGTCTCGTGACAACATCCCTTCATATGTAAGGAGGCAGTGCCAGACAGTTAATTCTGTGTCTTATTCAACAAAATATCTTCCTGTGTGCTGTGTGATAACACGGAAACTTCTCTCTTCTTCTTCCTTGATTATTTTGTCTTTTTTTTTTTTTTTATTAAACTTTTTTTTTTTTTTTTTTTAATAGAGGCATGTTTTTATTTATTTATTTGTTTGTTTTTTTTTGGTTTTGTTTATACATGCACTGGGTACAGTCAGAAGCGCAGGAGGGTGAGAGAATTCACCAGAGCCAGAGCGGGGAGCAGAGCAGGCAGAAGGACCCAAGTACACTGCTGAGGGGAGCAGCGGGCGGCAGGAGAGGTCTGCGTGCTATGTGGGACCCTCCTCAGGTGGCCGGGGAGCAGCCAGGGATCGAACCGGCGCCGCAGAGGTCGCCGGCAGCTTCGCAACCCAGCGCTCAACCGCTGTGCCACCAGGGAGGCCCCCTTGATTATTTTGGAAGTGGAAAAAGAAGTAATTCACTTTCAAACACTTCTCATTTTGTAAAGTAGATCACAAATTACTGAAAATGCCCACCTAATTGATAGAACATAAAATTCATCCTTGGGGAACTAAACAGAATTGAGAAAATGGCTTATAAACAAGTGCAAACCTTTTCAGTTGTTTAATTTATGACCAATTACTCTCAATTCTGAAAATACTTATGAGTAATTGAAGTAAACATGTTAATTAAATCTAAATTTAAGGCATACCAGTGAGAGAAAAGGCAGCAAAATACTCAAAACTAAACTCATCAGGTTCTTCTTAGAAATGAGTACCTCCTTGATATTTAGTGAAGATGTTACTTTGCTGGTAGTCATAAAAGCTTGATTTTTAAGTCACTTTCAGCTCCTCCTTCTCATCCCTGGTTCACTGAGTCACTTCAGTACTAATGTGTGGTTGGCTACTTCCTTATTTGTCTTCTTGTGTTACTGAATGTACCAATCTACCTAAACCTTCTTCATCTTTAGACTGTCAGGTCTTTCTACAAATAGTTCTCTTTATTGCTGTGAACTTGGTTAGCACTGGATCTATCAAAACTGTCTGTCATTCCTGCATCTTTACATACACACAGATGATTTATTTGATACCCTGGCCTTCAAATGATTACTGGAGCACCATTGTTTTTTCTTTAATCACATCTCAAATCCTCTGATTATATTCTAGATATTATCTTTACTAGTAACTGCACCATATCCAAACTTACAATCTCAAATAACCTATTCCCTGACAGAATCACTTTCTATCCTTACCATGCCTGTAATTCTCTGATCTCCACTCTTGTAATTCTACCACTTTTTACTCATCAACCACTCTTGAATCCTTATTTCTTTACTTGTGTTTAAGTTCATGCTTCAACACTCTCACCGTACCTTTACAAACACCCTTAATCTCTTGTTCCTTTCCTTCTGTTTTATTTCCCAGGAATAATCTCAACTCTGAAAATCATGCAACTGGCCCAACTGGACTGTAATTAATGACAATAAATCTCAGATGATCATTCAAAATGCAATGCATTCAATGCAGTTGTGTCAATTATACTTTCCTAGTTATACTCTTGTTCCAAGATCACTTTACATTTCTTCTTTCCTGAAATCTATTAGCAATTCCTCTCCTCCTGTCACACACAGAGGTGAGAACAATTACTTCTCCCCCCCAATGTCTTATATAACTAAATTGCATTCAATTTCATATATCCTGCCCTCTCTCTTGATGTATTTGATAAACCCTTTCCTGACCCCAGCTTCCTCTCTGTTTTCCACCTAATTTCTCTGTTCCTTTCCATAGCAAAATGCTCTGAGTTGTCATTCTCTGACCCCAAAACCCCCTTCCCATTCTCTGTTCAATGGACTCCAACATTTCATTGCAATGACTTTCATGAGGTAGAAATGATACAAATATTGCCAAAGTCAACTGTCTTTACCTTAGATTTTTCTGCATCATTTGATATAGTTGACTGCTCTCTATTCCTTTTTATTTTTTTTTATTTTTTTTTTTATATACCTTTTTTTTTTTTAATAGAGGCATGCTTTTTTTATTTATTTGTTTGCTGGTTTGTTTGTTTTCTTTATACATGCACTGGGTACAGTCAGAAGCGCGGGAGGGTGAGAGAATTCACCAGAGCCAGAGCGGGGAGCAGAACAGGCAGAAGGACTGAAGTACACTGCTGAGGGGAGCAGCGGGCGGCAGGAGAGGTCTGCACGCCATGTGGGACCCTCCTTCGGTGGCCTGGGAGCAGCCGGGGATCGAACCGGCGCCGCAGAGGCCGCGCGCAGTTTCGCAACCCAGCGCTCAACCGCTGCGCCACCGGGGAGGCCCTCTATTCCTTTTTAATTACTCTGTTTAGTATATTGTTTTTCATCTTTTCATTTTCAACCTACCATGCCCTTATTTAAAAAAATTGTGTCTATTGTAAGTATCACAGGGTTATTATTTCTTAATTTGGTATGTTAATCTTTGTTATTTAATTATAATACTTAAACTTATTTCTTGTGTTTACCAGTGTAACACATTAGTATTTTCTAATTATGTAATTATTAAGATAATCGGGTTTACTTTTTTATAATTACTAATGTAGTATAAGTACAAGTGGGGTTAAGTTCAAGCCTCCTGTTACCTATTTCCTATTTGTCTTTTCTTTATTCCTTTAGTTTAAAATCTTTCTTTGGACTAATCAGTAATTATATCTTATCCTTTATTAGCTTAAGAAAACTTCGATTTTGATATTATTTCAGACTTATGGGAAAATTGTAAGAACAGTACAAAGAATTATACCCTTCATTCAGATCCATTCATTGTTAACTTTTCTCCACATTTGCTTATTCCCCTTTTTCCTGAATCATTGACATCAGGACCTTTGTCTCAAAATCCTTTATAGCCTGTATTAACTAGGAACACAGGCATTTATGTAGCCATTGTGAAATGATTAAAGTTTGGAAATTTTACAGATAAAAGCCCATTATCTAACATACAGATCTAGTCATGTTAAACCAATGATCCATATAGTGTATTGGGGGGCAAATTTCCTCAGTCCAGGATCTGACCCAGGGTTGAACATTGCATTTTGTTGACAAATCTCTTCAGTCCCCTTAAATCTGGAGTAGTTTCTGCAACATTCTTGGTCTTTCATGATCTTGACTTTTTTTTTGAAGGTCAGGTCAGTTATTTTGTAGGAAGTCCCTCAATTTTGAATGCTTCCTCATGATTAGTTTCAGGGTATATGTGTTGGGCAGGAATATCAATGAAGGCATCTTGTACCCTGTCAGTACTTCATATTAGGAGATACTGGCTGATGTGTCCCACTGATCATATTAATTTTGGCCACTGGTTAGGACAGGCCCACAAGATTTCTTCAAAATAAAATTATTTTTCTCTTATAATTAATGATTTGTGGGGAAACACTCTGAGGCTAGGTAAATCTATTATTCTCATCAAACTCTACTCCACTTGCTTCAGCATCCATATTAACAGATTCTTGCCTGAATCAAAATCTACTTGATAGTGTTTGAAAAATGGTGACTTTCAACTCTGTCATTCTTTCTATATTTATTATTCTTTAGATTTTTACTTGTACATATCTATTTATAACAGAGGTATTTTTTCAGTTGTCATTCTAGAGACTCCAATGTGTATCTTTGCCTTATTACAATCTGCCAGGATCTGAGAATAACCTGATAGTCATTTAACACCTCCTCTCAATCTTTAAATATTGGCCTGTATTTTATTTCTATAAATGTTAAAATCTCACAAGGCA